TCCATACCTCTGGAATATAATGATGTATTTCACCTCTTTTACACTTAAATGTTCAAATACAGATGTTACTTATCCTTGATGGAGCTTTTAAAGGAAATGGTACTTACTGGCAATGAGACTACATATATATGAACGCTAGGGTGACCATGTAGTAGTTTATGGAACAGGAAGGTGAAATGGGCTTTGGATTTCTTTAGGAGCTATACTTTTTTCTAATTCACAGTTAATTCTCAATTTCCTCCTGTTAGAACAGAAGTATTTTAATATACAATAACCTGTTATGGAAACTGATACAGAAAATAAGATGTCAAGTGTTGCTTTCAGCTCAATCTTAACGTTTTTGATTTTTTTTTTTTAAACTTGAGCTGGTCGCTATATATTCTGTAACCAACTGAAAATGCTGTCAGTAAATTGGTCGTCCTTTCTGAGATGAAAAACCTGGCATAGAGTGTGTGTGTCTAATTCTTTAAAAAACATTTTTTGAATGCTGGTTTGCAAATATAATTTATGGAGGGGGGGGGAAAACAATGCCAAAGCAATATTGCTGGGTCTCATTCCCCCCTCCCCCGGAGAGCAGGTCTTTGGGATTGTATGGGAGTGTTTTATTTAGTGTAAACAATGGAATAATGCTTTGAAGTCACTTTTGCGAACACCTTTCCCAAGAAAAACACATCTGAAGCAGCAAAGCTTAACAGGCTTAATTTGTGTCTCTCCAAACTGCTTAGTGTCTCTGTTTAGTTAATGCTATGAAATGGTTCTTAAAGCTTTGTCTTCTTGTAGAAGTGAGCTGATATTCTTTCAGCTGGCAAAGTTGATATGTGTCAATTTTTGCTTTGATAGGTGTAAATACTCTCCTGTGTTGAATAATTCTAGATGAACCTAGACATCCAAGTTGGTAGAAGCAAATTATTTTCAGTGTTGCCTCTTCTATGCCCTCTCTAAATCCATAATCACTTCTAAAATATTTTTCAGAGGCTAGTTTTGCTTGAAATTAACAATAAATACTTCTGGGCAAAAATTTTGCTTTTAATGCATAAAAATTGTATGTCTTGCTATAGTAAATGAAATGCTAGTTATGTTTCAGTCTCTAATATGAACTATATGCAAGCTAGAAAAAAAGCAGGGGTGACGATTGTGGATATTACACCTGTATTATACATATAATACTTTTACTCTTTATTTTGCGACATTTTAATATCCTTATTTGAAAAAGTGTGTTCCTTTTTTTTCGGCTAAACTTACGCAAGAAACCAAACATTTGTGGCTAGATTAATAGCGTTTGTGAAAACTTTTGTTTTGAATATCTCTTAAGCTAACCTATACACATAGCTTATGTTCTCAAGAGTCCCATTTACCCTGTTGGATGGACATGAGTTCAAGAATCCAACTCTAAACAGTGCAACATTACTATAAATTCTGTAACTCGTTTTGTGGAAGCACCATTTAGAGAAGAAAGGCACTGTCTACTATAAGTATTTTGTGCTATGGAAGAATTATTTGTAGTTGGTGACAGTAAGTTTTGCTAGACCATTCATGCTAGAACTCACTAATGCAAAACAAGGTAGAGCTTTTATAAAATGGTGTGTCATTACTTAAATTTTTCAGAGTCTTTTTAAGTTTATCCCTGTGGTTGTGTTTTTTTTTTCTCTCCAGTCTATAGCTCTTATTCTGCTTATTAGGCATTGGGTTACAGTATGGATCAGCATATGGCTATTGAAATTTCCATTAGCAAATGTTTTTGGTAGTTGAGTCATATTACACAGACATGGTTATAAATATATTCAGGGGGATGCATCTTTGAATATTTTCAGCTTGCTTTAGTTCTTTTGAATCCTGTATTTCATTTTAAAACAGATCTCATATGAAACTTACTACTTTGAGAAACAAGAGCTTTTTGAACTGGAAGAAGGAATTCTCTTTAAAATTCCTGACTGTGACAGGAATTCCTGGCAGTGGCAAAGAGAACACAGGCTGGGTTGGTTCTTTTACTTGGTCTGTCTCTTCTGCAGATAGAATTTGGCTCTGGATGCATTAACGTGCCTATGTCTGTTCAGGATCTTTGAAGGGTCTCTTGTATGGCTCTTGGTAGAAAGCAGGAAGTCACATGAGAGCTGTCCAGCTGAAATCACTTTCAGCTACGTGTAGTAAAACTGTATTGTTTGCTGAATGTACGATTTGGATAATGTCACCAATATCTTACAAGTGAAACAAGAAACCCTCCTAAAATATGACATTTCATGCGCATACGAAGTAGCCAGTGCTATATTCTAAGCTATTGGTCTGGAATTGGATATGGGGCAATTCAGAATATGGGATACAAGCAAGTGAAATAACTTATTAGTCTGGGTCTTGTCTTTATTGTGTATATTCTCTGTGCTGTAGCTAACTGCTACGAGTGGAAAGCTAAAAGCAAATACTTGATAACGGGCTTGCACAACGTGCATCTTGTAGAGCCATGTCCCTGCCTTGCCAGCCACCAGGAGGCAGCACGAGCTGTGGGGAATGTGGAGGTCAATTATTTGGCTGCGTAATTTGCTGTATATACCACAAATTCAGTTGTTTTGCACATTGGAAGAAGACTTGTGTGCCAGAATCGTAGTTGAAATTCAGTTGTTTTGCACATTGGAAGACTTGTGTGCCAGAATCGTAGTTACTGGTAATGTAATATTAAGTTTCTGTACAGTGTTGGTAGAGTATTTTATTCAACTCTGAAGAGTATGCCAGATGAGATGCTCAGATTTGCCACCTGAGCTTTAAGATTCTTTAATATTTTAAAATCAACTGAATACCTTTTATCTCCACTCACATCTTGAAGTGCATATGTGCTGAAACTCTCTTGTGTGGAGCTCCTCTTACCACAAAAATTTCCTACTGTTCTAGGCAAAGATACAAATCTACTCTTTTTAGGTGATTAAAGAGAAGACTCGGTTGTTTAGTCTATTGCTTGAGATAGTGAGTCCACTTTCATATTTCCTGGCCTAGGATTTGTAGGCAATCAGATACAATGGCCAATTTTCAGTAGGAAGGGCTAGTACTTATATAAAATGAGTATGTGGACATCTGGGCTTGCAATTGCCAGAAAACAACATAGGGCTAATATCATACAGATGTACTTTTCTGATACTCATCACTTTATTATTCAAGTAGCGGCTGAGAAGAGACATCAGGTAGTGTTTTCAGAATACAGTTGGATACTATCCAGCTTTCCAAGATGTGCAGATCTGGGGGGAGGAAGGGAGTAGAATGTGAAGCTACCGAAATGCTCCTGTGCTATTTGTTTAGACAAATGTGCAGTGTGAATGTGCAGTGTTGACATACCTCAGAAACAGAGGACCCTGTTTTCCAACTGACCTTTTCTTATTAGTTGGCCTTTCCCAAGACTGCCTATAGCTTAAGTATGCCCCTGTCCAGTGTATCACTAGGGAGCCTTTTTTCTGTCCATTTAGCTTGAGTGTGACATAACTACTTACCTTTAAATTGTTACTCACTTTTCAATGGTAGGAAATAGTATTTCTTAGTCTTAATGACTTAAGCTGAAAGTATAAAAGAAACCCATTTTTCAGTGCCATAGTTTAGATGCTAATGTAGCTGTGCATTGAAAATTAAGCACACAGTCAAGTCCATTTCTGAATAGATTCTGATGTATTCCTGTAGTCACGAGGGACGTCAGACAACACTTCTACTTGAGTTGCTGCTTTTTGTTTTGCGTTTTAGTTGTGAAATAGGGAGATTGTGATGCTATGAACTCTTTTGTGTCTAGATGGCGTGTGCAAAGCACTTTAATAGCTATCATACAAATTGACATCGCTTGTCATTAAAGTAGTCCAAAAT